AGTAGCAGGTGCCTAGACCCTGGCAAGCAAGCTGGCCAAACCAGTGCTGCTTTAAATTACACAACACTCACTCTGCCTAAAGGTGTAATCTTTAACAGAAGGTGAATGTATTTATGCCTTGCTTGCATTTTTTCCCCCTCTATCTTTCTGTTAAACCTGGCTAAATAAGGCAATGAGTTGTGTTCCCTTTTGTGTAGCTTAAGGTGGGGAAAATCAAAATGAACACATACTAAGGAGACAAAATGACGTAGCTCTGCCTAATAGTCGTTCTCATATTGTCTGTGGGTTCCCGACATTGTTCTTGACTTTATGGAGAGAAGTTGGAAAAGCAAGAGTGAAGAAGTCTCTCCCCATTTTCCCTGCTTTACTTACTGCGTATGTGCAGAGTTTAAGGTGCTTTTGACACTCGTTGCTTTTCCTAAATGCTGCTTGCTCTTTAGATGTAAAACAAATAAATTACAAGCTCTTTTTTTTAAGTGAAGTTATGCATCTGATGGACACGTGTGTACAAGTTCGAGGACTGCAGGATGAAGAATAGTTTCCACACTTTCATGAAATAAACAGTGTCATTATGCTATAAAAAGTTTGGCTAAGATCTGTTAACTTTTTAACAGATACAGCTTTTTGTTTAAAGATTGAGTGGTTTTATTATTTACTATTCAGCTTTATAAACAGAAGACATTCAATGTGCTTATTTCATTTGCTTAATATTTGGCTATTACTATGAGGTGCCATATATAAAATGAAATTTGTCTCACACTGATATTTCTTAAAACACACCCTTTTTCAGAGACAGTTTCTCTGAAAAAAATATGTCATTGTAATTTCAAGTTTTCAATATTATTTCTAGTGGAATCTGTCTATCCTGGGCTTCTCATATCAAGATATGACTTTTGGAAAAGAATAGAATTTGCATTTCAGAGTTGCAGGAATAAAGGCAGTATTTTAGAATAAGTCAGTTAATATTTTGTATTATTTCCACCATTCTTCACATTTATAGAGGATACTGTAGTGGGGAGTCTAATTTTGCTTCTACTCTGTTTTCATATACCGTAACTACTTTATGTAAGAGATGGGGGATTTTTATGCTTTTCTGTTGGGCTGTAGAAGTAATTTGCATATGTTTCCTTCTTTAGCCCTTGCAGTGGTATCTGCTGTGTAAAATCTTTCCAAGCTACTAAATATTTTCCTCAGGCTTTGCAGGCAGCTTTTCATCTAAACCTATACTACCTACCATACTGATTAGATTGGTCAAAGATAGCTGGGGAAAATTTGGCAGTTCCTCCTGTTTGGCATTGACCCATATTGCTTAGGCTTTATTCCACATTTATCCTCAGCCCATCATCTCAATCTTGCTCAACCTTCTTGCACACGTTTCCTTATGTGCACACTGTTTGGTCCTCAATTAATGAAAACATTTGCAGCTCTTTCCTTTTTTAAATTGCATTTTTACTTACAGGGGACCTGACTGCAAATTGCACTAGAAGCCAAATGAGTCAAACGTCCAAAAATTGAACGCTGGTCTTCAAAATTGAGCTGCTCATCTACCTAAGGAAATTATTTTTGAAGACTACTTCAGGTAATTTTAAAAGGCTTTTCAAAATAGTGGAAATGTGTTTGTGAATGACTGATAGCGTTCTAAGTCCTGCTTCACTCCTTACTTCTCCCACAGAGTTTTCAGGAATTGCTTCTTTTACTCCCATGGTTCAGGAATTGTACTTTGTGCTATTAACCTCTAAACGTAATTACATGTTTTCCAAAGTAGAAAATGTTTTCATAATAAATCTTTTACATGTTCTGGCTGACTATACCAGGTTAAAGGTTTTTAAGTAGAAGTCAAGTTGAGCATGGTGCATATAATTCGGATAATCATTGCACAAACAATGCAAAGTCCATTCATTACCTAATCAGAGGCTTTCTTATATATTTGTTTTTACTAGGCAAGATCTCTATTTATTAACCTCATCTTACTTTCATTATTGTAAAAAAGTGGTCTTAACTGCCGATACTCAGATGATTATTTTTTCTGTTGTTCCCAAAGTTCCCTTTCCAAAAGTAAGTCTTTTATTTCAAAGTCTGAGTGCGTACTTGCAGTGGTACTCACTTCAAACAAAGAAGTCTGAAGTCTCTATTACTAATTAACAGAAAGATTTGGATCCTGTACTCTTGTTCCCTTATAGTATATGCCAGTGCTCGAGTCCAAATGGCTGGTGCTCCACCTTGTGCGATGACGATTAAAAAGTAGCCAGGATGTAGTCTGGAGCAAGAGTGGCTTTGCATCATGATGAGTGCACGTGGCTTTCATTCCTGCAAGCCAAACTTGCATAAGCAACTATTCAACTCTACCCTTTTCCCTGCTTTCTTCTCCCACCTTCCTCACCTGATTTTATTTGTAACCCAAATTCTCAGCTTCATTTACAGAGCTGTAAACCTCACTGGGAAGCAAGGAAGCTTACTATCTCCCAAAACTTCCTAGAATGCTTAGAAATATGATGTGACTTTCTGTAACGATAGATCATGAACGAGCTCCAAAAAAGTAATATAAACCACCCTCTATGTATCAAGACATGGGAAGTAAAAAATGCATTTCACTTCATCTAGTCAAAAAAATCCTCAAATCTATTTGTTTCAGTGGATTAGGTTTAGGCTTAGTGTTAGAGCCATTAGGGTTAAGGTTAGGATTAGGTTTAGGGCCTGTTAGGCTTAGGGTTGGGATAAGAGCCTGTTATTGTTAGTGTTAGGATTTGGGGATTTGGGTTAGGGCATATAAGTGTTAGGGTTAAGGCTAGGGTCATTAGGGTTAGAGTGTTACTGCCTGTTAGTGTTATGGTTAAGGACACTAGAGTTAGGGTTAGGGTAAGGGTATGAGTTAGGGCCTATTAAAATTACAGTTAGAGACTTTTAAGGGTTAGGGTTTGGTTTAGTGTTGTAGTTATGGCCTATTAGGGTTCAAGTTACTTTTAGGTTTAAGACCCGCCAGGGTTGTGGTTACAGTTAGGATAAGGCTTTGGGCCAGTTAAGGCTGGGGTTAGAGCCATTGAGGTGAAGTTTAGTGTTGTGTCCATTAGGGTTAGGTTTAGGGCTTGTTAGGATATTAGGGTTATGTTTTGGGTTAGGGCCTACTAGGTTGTCAGTTAGGGTTAGTGCTTGTCATGGTCTGTTTGGATCTCAAATTTACAGGACAATATGCTGTGTGGTTTAAACTTTATTTCATGAGCTCATTAAGAAATATGACAAATAAACAGGGGCTCAATCCCCTTTTTCCCAGACACCTCAATCACTTGAATTCGCTTATTCACCACTCAAGTGGTAAGAGCTGCAGGTTATAAGTTATGAAACCTTAATTTGTGCTCCTATGAGCAAAACCAAAAAAGAAACTGTTCTCTAGCTGACGGTGAGAGTGCTCATCCTTCCTTCTCCATCACGGTGCTGGTGGCCCCTGTATCACACCAGGAAGCACGAAAGACTCAGCAGGCCAGCTGCTGTTGGATCCGCTTCAAAAGCTTGAGTGAGCTGAAGAGCACCAGGTGCCTCCAAGTGACTTTGGTGAATGCAGGCACCTTGGAGTGCCAATCTCTAATGCTGGAAGAGGCACTGTTTGGCAATAGCTATTGCTGTGTTTTATCAACACTGTTTTCATCATCAGTTTAAGAGACAGCACTTTTGGGTTATGAAGAAAATTAACTCCATCCCAATCAGACCCAGGATGTTTGGGTTGGAAGGGACATTACAGATCATCTAGTTCCAACCCCCGGCCATAGGCAGGGACACCTTCCACTAGGTCAGGTGGCTCAAAGCCTCATCCAGCCTGACCTTGAACACTTCTGGAGATGGGACATCCGCAGCTTCTCTGGGCAACCTGTTCCCGTGCCTCACCACCCTCAGAGTGAAGAATTTTTTCCTAACACCTAATCTAAATCTCTCCTGTTTCGTTTTAAAACCATTACCCCTTGCCCTGTTGCTACAAGCCCTTGTAGAGCATTTTCCACTCCAGTACTGCCCTGCCCAGGGAAGAAGCTCTTCTGGCCCTGTCTGACTAGCACGGGTCACCTGCCCCTGAGAAGGTGGTTAAAGCAGCAGATAAGGAGCAGACCCAGAGCCAGAAGTCCGTACAGTTCCCAGTTTACCTTTTGGTGTCCTCTAGAGTCCTCTTGCCTGGCTTTTTAGATGCATAATTGAAGATGGTATTCATCTAGAGGCATGATACAGTTACACTGTTCTCACACCCCAGGATAAGCAATTTGAAATGCACACAATAAGTTTCTATTGTACAGGTTAAAATACATACCAGAAGTGTATCAGCACTCTTAGTCCCAGTAATCACAGCTTCTCTATCAAGAGGAAGGTATAGTATGGCTGCATACTAGATACAATGTCTGTACAACTGGAGATGCCTGGCATTGTGACGAGGAGGATACTCTAGAGAACAGTAATGGGAAACACATTTATGTTGTTATTCAAGTATATGCTGCAATTGCTGTACTCTTAAGTGTGATATGTAGCTTATTATAATTTATTATGATTTAAGCACATTGCTGGAACACCATGTTAATTCAAAATCTTGTACAATTTCAAATGACTTCAAATAAGCAAACATTGTATTAAGCCTTAAACCCTCGACATGAGGAGTACCTAAAAATACCACTGGTCTGAAATGAAATTAAGTGCGTGCAGCTGCACCAGTCCATAATCTGACTTGAATACACACTCAGGCTCAGAAATGCCCTTGGCCATATTTACTCAGACACAGCTAGCAAAGAGTTTCTCCTATTCTAACTGGTCATCTCCTGCTTGCCCTATCCACTCTTAATATATCTAAACCAAAACACCAGGAAAGACTAGAAGTAAAATTCAGGTAACTTCATGTCTATTGAAATCATATCCATCTCTTCTTATCCATCCATGACTTCTGCCAGAGTCCCTTGTGGTCCCTGTTCCTCAGCTTCCTGGGAATGCAAAGACATGGCAGGCTATGAATGGTACCATCAAGCCCTGTCTTCTTATTTGTGTAGGTAGGCATCAAGCCAGAGCTCTCCTGAGTTCTTCAGAGAGCTGAAAGAGAGAGTGCAGAAGGAGACGTTGAGCAGACTTGCTTAGGGGAGTGTTGGTGGGGACAAGGGAAATGAGGGATTCTGTGCATTGATTTGTAAGAGAAGAACAAGCCAACTCTTGTTCTTAGGATTCTAGTCTCTCCTACGTCCTTCTGCAATTTTTTTGCCAGTGTGGCGTTACTTACTGCACTATGTCTGCAAAAGCCGTGAGCAACGGCTTACATTGGTACTCAATGCCGTGTTTGGCACACAAGGACTTCACCAGAGGAGCCACCTTCCAGTAGTTGTGTCTTGGCATTGTGGGGAATAGGCTGTGAACAGGAGACAAACAAATTTGTTTTCAGTGCTTTTCATTATTACTTTCCAGGAATCACCCAGCTCATACTGAGTAAGGTCTTTAGCATTTCCTGACTCTTCCTTTCCCCTTGGAGTGGGAAGTGGGTCACTGTCTGTATGGTTTCACAGATCCCACCCATGCTCAATTTAAGGTAGTTGTTCTCACCTTCCTGTGGGTTCAGTCAAGGTTTTGACTGAAAACCCTAAAGAGAATCATAATGTAATTCTTTTTAAAGACCAACTCCTTTGTGTTCCACGCTATTTGTAGAATTCAGAGAAAAGAAGAATAGGGAAAAGAAAATAGAAGAGAAAAATATTTTTTTTTAAAAAAAAGGAAAGAAAATTCTCTCTCAGGGTGCATACTCACTGGTGTTCAATCTGGAAGTTCAGATGCCCAGTAAACCAGTCATTAAACAGAGACTGCTCAACATTGCATGTTGCCTGGAGCTAGAGAAGAGGAAAGGAAAGCAAAGTCAGTACAGACTGGCGACTGCAGCCTTTCTCATTTGCTTAAAGAGCACAGTATGCTGTGCTACTCTTGTCTATTGTTTACTTCTAGCTTATGCTGTGCTACTCTGTTCTATTGTTTACTTCTAGCTGAAGCTGAGCTACCTCAAGCCAGGGATCATAATCGTCCTTCAGTTTTGTGGACCAGCAGATGTACATAGACTGGCTAACATGGACCATGGTAAAGCTAGAAGTGGGCTCTGTGCTCCTGTGAATGCATGCGAATAGTCAAAAGTTCCTCCTGGGTCTTCTCAAATCTATGTCTGCAGAAAATGCAGAGACGGCAGGGTACTACTATGATGGTCAGACTTTATTGTTGGACTCCAGTAAGTCTCTGTGCAAAGAGGGGACACCATGCTGGCATTCTACTAGGGCAAAATTGCTCAGCAAGAGCAGACATAAACTTCCATCTCCGCATAAGCAGAAAAGGTCCAAGACAAAATGATGCAATAAGTGGGGAGGTGGATACATTTAGGAAATAGAGCCAGGACCTGGCTTTGATTCTAGATTGTCCATGAACTTGTCATTGCTGTCCTCCTTTACTGTTACTATAACTGAATCATGTTATCCTATTAACCTTCACTTCCCAGTTACCAACAGGTTTTCACCCTTAATGCAATAGAGGACTTGCTTGTCTTATGGTTGGAGTTTGTACTTGTGTGGCCACAATTCTTAAGAATGGAAAATATTGTACCTGAGTAGACACCCAGTCCAAATTTTTGTCATAGTAAATATCCATAGGGATATGGTTCATCTGTGAAACCCAGACAAACCAGCTGCTCTCCAGCATCCTGTGCAATCAGACAAGAGGCCAAAATTCAGTAACAAGTAAGCAAGTCAATGACGAGCCATTGACATAACAGCATAGCCAGACCTGCAAACACACGGCTGAACACCAGCCTTGCTAATCCAGCACATGGAAGAACTTCTAAAACCTGGAAGTTTCATAATTCCTTATCAAACTCATTATTATTTAATATGTTTTGTTATAAATCTGATGTAGTCTGGTATTCATCTTGTTTTATCTGTAGCCAAGGACCAAACTGATTAGAATCAGTGAAATGATCCAAGTGAAGAGCATATTGTCCATTCAAGCCAATGCTGCTGGATAATGCCTGAGCATTTGCAAGCCCAGGCTAAGCTGTTTCTGTTAAATGTTCTCTTTATCTCACCAGTAGCAGACCCAACACCCAAGGCAGAGAACGCTATGTAAAGCAAGTATTTTTCAATTTGGTCAGCACTCAGGGAAGAACTCTTTGCTGCCAGAGCCAATGAGGCAATGTAAAACTTAAACCGGCAATTGAGCAGAAGAGTCTTAGTTTAACTTTATGGAATTAAAAAATTAAGCAAAAAATTAGATGGTAAAGGAGAATATGGAAAGATAAGCAAAGGCAGAGAAAGGCAGGCAGGCACAGATGGAAAGAATATGTAAAGGAAGGCTAAAGAACCTTCTAAAGAGAGATCACCTGAATATAAAGTAATATGCCAGGAGACTCTTTATTTCTAATAATGATCCATAAGTAAGAAAGAATCTGATATAGAAGGTCAGCATCCAGGCCAAGTCCTACCAAAACCAGAGACAACAAGAAAAGAAAATAATTACAAGTTACATTTGCTGAAATCTTTTTCTAAGCTTCATGTTATATGTACAAGAAAACAATCTACATTGTTATATGTACAAGAAAACAATCTACATTCAGCTTCTGTAGCTTTTTGCTAAATTGAATCATCTGGAGCAATCCAAGTTAAAATAAGCTAATAACCTTTTATTTTTGTTCATGTCT